TTTCTAACCACTTATCTGCAGAAGGACTACTTTATTCTGGATTTTTATTTTATTCATTTCCTTGCAAAATGTTACTAAATGGTAACATTGTATTCTAAAACCAAACCTGTGCTGCCTTCCAGTGGCTTCTGACTAGACAGAATAGAATTCCCATTTCCAAGACAGTCTTTTTCAGAAGCAGGAGTGGATGGGGATTTGTATGGATCACCTTGTTAAACCAATTCATAATCCACCGAGGGGTCCTTCAACCTGTAGTGTACACGTGACCAAAAGTCGAAAACCTTTTTGGCATTTTACTAGTTAAAACAAAAAACAAAAACCCACTGCCATCAAGTCAGTGCCGTCTCAGACAGAGCCCCTATAGGACAGGGTAGAACTGCCCGTCTCCCCGGTGGTTTCCGACTGTTTGCCTTGTGATTGCAGCCCAACAGTCACCACCGGGCACCATGGCTCCTATTTGACTAGTTAAATCAGTACTATTAAAGTTGATTCGATGGTGAGAGCCCTTCCTATTTTTGACCCTTTGGGCCAGATTTAAATAACGTGGTTTAAAATTGTTGTGAACACTGTGCCAGACGTGCTTGAAAGCTCACTAGCATTCAGCCATTGCCATTCAGTCAGCAAACGACAAGAATAAGCTAGAACAGGTGGCTGCCCTGATTTTGCTTAATCAGGTGTTTGATTAAGCAAATTCCCCAACCTCTTTGAGTGTAAATCTCCACTAACATTGGGAGAATGGTAGCCTGCTTCCCAGGATCGGAATAAAACATACCATGTCACATGAAAGCAACGGCCCTGATTATCAGGGGCCTTGCCTGATTTTCAAAATTCAGTGTCAGTTAATCTGGAATCCAGAATGCGTGTGGCCAGAAGACTGGTTATTAAAATAGTTTGGTGTTATTTTATGTTTGACCCCCCCTCCCCACTATATTCTCCAGTAAAGGGGAGACTGAAAATGGGGAGACATCAAAAGAAGCTTGAGATTTTACCAAAACACAAAACCTTCCAAATGTGTATGGTACGTCTTCATCACCTCCACCTGTGAAGCATCTTGAGTGTACAACACTGCCACTTAGCTTGTCCCACTTTTATCTTTCTCGTGGAAACGTCAAGCTGTTTCTGCCACTCTCCTGAATTGTGAAGAATAAAGGACTGTAGATGAAGCAAGAAGAAGGAAAAAAGACACAGTCAAAAACGAGAGACAGGGATCTTGCTTTTGTTGCACACAATTCTATCCAAATAGTAAGGAATTTACAGCTGGGTAGGTATTTTACTTTAGAAGAGAGAAAATAAAATGAAACCAACTTAACTTTCAAGATTCCATAGTAATTATTTTAAAACAAACCGGCAAAGCCTACAGTAGCACATCTTTGGCTCTTTTGACACAGTTTTTAGTTAGGAAATGGCTCAATATGGCTACCTATCCTAAAGGGTTTTGTAGATGGAGTTGAATAGATAGAGAGCTGTACCCTGCACTGGGAGGTAGCATTAAAGGTTGGCTGTTAATATGGAAGACATTTCCCTGTAACCACTAGAAATCTCAGGGAAAAACACCAGGCTACTCGGTCCGAGAAGTTTTCATGAGTTAACACCGGGACTGAGTTGAAGCGGTAGGCTTAAAAGCCTTGAAACAGTGTCTGGCACAGTGTACCTCTCAAGTCAGAAATTATTTCAAACAAATAGATGGAGCCACTGGGG